GATTGTCAAAGGGGAAGTTGTTTCTGAACTCTTATGAATCTTTTGAAAGTAAGGATTTAATCTGTTTCTTAATTGTGAATTATCCATGGAAATGTTGTTTCAGATAAAAGGAATGAGGTCTCGTCATCAGCATCATTCTTGCTCTGACCATCATCTTGTCATGTGATAGTTCCGGGTGACCAGGAAGGCTCATGAAGTTCTCTCGCCCAGCCTCATGTTTGGCTGTGTGTAGGCTGGGCAGTGTCAGTGGGGAGAAGCACGATGCCATTATATTTACAGGGACAAAATGAATCCATGCCTGGGCCCAAGACTATTCACCAGCCAAATTCTAATTCAAGACTAACAGGCATCTCTCTGCAACCTATACCACCCGTGTCTTTGGATTCTGTGAACGTCACTTGGGAAGAGGGTGCCTGGCACAGTGTGTTCCATGTATGTGGCAAGGCCGATCGAGCGTAGGTGGATGCAAAGAGAAATCCACTGGGATTTTGGCAGCATCAAGCAATCTATGCCCTGGGGTGACCATTCATTCTGACTTGTCTGCCAGTGTGGGGATTACCAGAATGAGAATGCAGCACTTTCTATGACATAACTGCTTTAGATTCAGGCCAACCGGCATGAGCTGTGGTTCTAGCCCTAACCCTGGTTACTAGCATAGGAAGTGTTATTTCTTCTCTCTCTCTCTATTTCCTTTGAATGAAGGAATTAGATGAGTTGAGATGATACCTGATTCATCTTGGAGTTCTGACATGTTTAAAACCTTTTTTAGGTATACCATTCATTTCCGAAGAATGCAAATTATTAATTTCTAACTTGATATAACATTATGTTGTAAACACGCCTATGTCCCCATTACGAGGTTAGGTAATAGAAATTAATTCCCTTCTCTCCCAATTATATTTTCTTACTCATTCCCAAAAACAGCTAATCACTCTGGCAAGTTGTAATCCATTAGGTAAATTTTAGCTTTTTAAAATTTTCATGTGAATAAAAATTATGGTATTTGCTTCTCTACTTCTTTGGCATAATCAAAAGTAATCGTTATTGCTTAGTCATTTTGGACTCTTCATGTCAGCAGACCAGCAGACAGAGAAAGGAGTTACCATTTGGTGAGGAGTAATTATCCTCAAGCCAACTATTGTAGGAGAATATAGCTCAGGAGATTTACTCAGTATATTAATTTACTGGCACTGCCATAAACAAATTACTGCAAACCAAGTGACTTAAATTTGTTTTGTCACAGTCCTGAAGGCTACTAGTCTAAAATTAAGGTGTTGGCCACGTTGTTTCCTTTCTTTAATTTTTTTTTTTTAAAATTATACTTTAAGTTGTGGGGTACAAGTGCAGAGTGTGCAGGTTTGGTACATAGGTATACACATATCATGGTTGTTTGCTGCACCCATTAACCCGTTATCTACATTAGGTATTTCTCCTAATGCTGTCTCTCCCCTACCCCTCCTACCCACCGACAGGTCCTGGTGTGTGATGTTCCCCTCCCTGTGTCCATCTGTTCTCATTGTTCAACTTCCATGAATGAGTGAGAACAGTCAGTATTTGGTTTTCTGTTCTTGTGTTATTTTGCTAAGAATGATGGTTTCCAGCTTTATCCATGTCCCTGCAAAAGACATGAAGTCATCTTTTTTATGGCTGCATAATATTCCAAGATGTGTATGTGTCAGGGAATGTTGTTTTCATCTGAAGGCTATGAGGGAAATTCCAGCTCTCTCTCCTTGACTTGTAGATGTCTATCATTTCCATGTATGTTTGACATAATGTTTCTACTGTCTGCATACTGTCTCTGAATTTCCCCCTTTTATATAGACATCAGTCATATTTAATCACAGGCCCGATTGTTTCCAATATGAGCTTTTTCATTACATAACATTTAAAATGGTTCTATTTGAATATGAACTTTGGGGGACACAAATTAACCCATAACACTGGAGAATCTCATAGTGTGTCTGTGCCCAGTAATAATCACAAATGAGTAAAAACAGGAATCACAGTGGACAATGGTATAGTAACTAGAGGCTCAGACGCTTCAGGAAGGAAGTTCTGAGGTATTCCATCAGGCAGTCATCTAGACCAACAGGAGTGCTGGCCAGGGGTGAAGGGAGAAGAGAACTGGTGGTAATTAATGGAGTTCACAAATCTCGGGTGCAAATAGCAGCAGTAAGTGTCGCTTATTTCACTGACCTTCATTTTGTATCTTACTTCCTCTCCTTTCTTTTCCTTTTCTCCTTCCTTCCTTTTTTCCTCTGATATACTTACTTTTTCTTTCCTCCCTCCCTCCCTTCCTCCTTCCTTCCTTCTCCCTCTCTTCGTCTCTCTCTTTCTTGCTTGCTTTCTCTCTCTCTCTTTCTTCCTCTTTTTTCTCTCTCTTTCTTTTTTCTTTTCTCTTTCCTTCTCTCATCTTCTATCCCTTCTCTTTCTCCTCTTCCTCTCCTCCTCTTTTTCCTTCTTCTAGAGTTTGTGGCTGTGCATGACATTTAAGCTGCAAAGGTTTGACTTGAGTGGAGCTAATTGTAGGTTGTAGAAAAGTTTTCATGACTGCACCCATATAACTTGGATCTTATTGTGCTTGGACTAATTTCCATCTGCCAGAATCTGCATCTCTGTGCCTAAGGACTCTTGAATTGCATCTGTAGAAAGCCATGTTACCTGTGCATGACACACACAGAAAAACACTCAACCAATGATTCTGGAGTGCTGATTTATGAAGACTCTAGCTTCCTCATTCCTGAAGTAGGATAATTCTAGCTGTGTCTTTTTCATCATCTCTGATAGTTTTCCCTTTAGTTTAAGCTTTAGTTGGTCAGCGTGATACTGGCTTAATAGTGTACCATTTTCTGTATCACTTCCTCAATCCCTACCAGTGTAAACTGCACTTCCCAATGAACTACTTTCACTAGAATCTTTTCCTCAGTGTCTCTTCTGAGAGAAACTAAACTACGACATTGTGTTAACTCTCTTAGCCTCAGTTGTCTCATCTCTACGATGAGAACATTAATACCTATTTTGAAAGTTTACTAAAGAATTAATGTACACAAAGCATTTAGCAAATATGCATCATAGGGTAGGCAACCCAGAATATATTCGTGTTTTTTGTTCAGAAAATTCCTAATTTCAACGTTGAAGATAAGGATATTTTTATAATAGTTAACAGATCAACTAAATACTTTTTTCCTAGCTGTACTGAGGAAAAATTGACAAATAAAATTATTCATATTTCAGGTACACAAGGTGATGCTCTGATATATATATTCATTGTGAATAATATCTTTATTAGCTCACGTGGTTACCATTTCCTTTTTATTTTTATGGTGTGAACATTGAAGATATATCTTCTCAGCAAATTTCAGGTACATGATAAAGTATTTTTAACTATAGTCACATTACCGTACAGTAGACATGCTGAGCTTATTCATCTTGCGTAGCTAATGTTAGTCAAAGAGAATATCCTAGTTTTCATCTCCTTTACTTCATCACTGAACGTTGATCACAGTAACTGGCCTTTGTCTCTTAGCCAAGTCTTCAGAGCATTCTAGATTCGCAGTCTCAGAAGCTGGCATCTGTCATGGAAATCTACATTGGTAGCTCATCAGATATATTTCTACCACTCCCATACTGGTAGGAGGTCCCAAGAAGGTGACCCAGATCCCCGACTTTTCTATTTCTCTCGGAGCCATGATTAATCAATCCTTCCATAAGTGAATGCTTAGCTTGCATCAGCTCAGGACCAAAAGCACCAATCTCTGTCTATCATGGTTTCTAAGAATGTACAAGTTCTATTTTTCTCCTTTCTTACATTCTTCTGATTTCCCTGAAAACACAAGATTTTAGTTTCTTTAGACGCTTCATGTTGGCCTCACAAAATGCAGAAGGTTGTTTTATTCCCTTCCTTGGCTCAGAGATTATGGATTGTGCCAAGTCTTACATGTCCATTGCGTAGTTTCTCAATTCCCAGCTTTGTTCTTACTTAATTTTCCTTGTAACATTTCAATTAGTGGACAGATACTCTTCATGTGGCATAATGTGTGGTCTGTATTTTACAAGGAATAACTTAGTTTTATTTACTTTTTCAATAGATATTCAGGAGATGGGGGCCATATAAGAATTTTATTTACGTGACACCAAGAATAAGTCCCTTCAGATAAGACTCTCTCTCATGAGGACACAATGAATTCTCAAGCATTTTTTGATGTAGATGAATTGAATGAATGGCTCATCAGAGGCTGAGACAAAAAGAGGTCCCTGGATTCAGGGCAGCTATTAAATGCAGTCCCTGCTGCCATATCATGCAGCAGTTGCTCACTGGAGAGTGGGAAATGAATTTGGGAATATTTTTGTGAACAAAAATGTTATCTGCAAATATGAAGGATTATTCCTCTTACTGTTAAGCAAACTCCAGTGCATGTCTTGCTAGTGCTGACTTTCAAGGTCATTTCTACCTTATTGAGAGTTAAATGTAATTGTCCTTGGACAGAAGGAGAGGACCTCATCTTGGATCAGACTCTGTCCTTCTGTTTTTTTTTTTTGTTTTTTGTTTTTTTTTTCTTTTTGAGATGGAGTCTTGCTTTGCCACCCAGGCTGGAATGAAGTGGCACAATCCTGGCTCACTGCAACCTCTGCCTCCTGAGTTCAAACAATACTCTGCCTAAGCCTCCTGAGTAGCTGGGATTCCAGGCACCCACCACCATGCCCAGCTGATTTTTTTGTTTTTAGTGGAGATGGGGTTTCACCGTCTTGGCCAGGCTGGTCTTGAACTCCTGACCTTGTGATCCACCCCCTTCAGTCTCCCAAAGTGCTGAGATTACAGGGGTGAGCCACCATGCCCATCTGAGTCTGTCCATTATTGCTACATAATATCACATATTAAATTGTTCTCAGCTGAAAAATGAAGGATCTGTTCTGAGAATCAAATTAAATAATACATATGGTAGGTTATATGTGTGTAAATCCCATATCAGGAATGCTTTAAAATAAAACAAAACACCATATGAGATGAGGATGGTTCAGAGTTTATTCAGAAACATGTAGGCAAGAATCTCTGCTACCAGGAACATGACCCAAAGTTATCATGAAAAGAAGAAAGAAAGATACAAGAACAATGAGGAGGATATTGAAAACAAAATTATAACTGCAAAGATTATGGATTAGTTGCAGAAACCTAAATTTCTGAGAAGCAGAGAATGAAGCTCTTGACTTTAGAGTCAAAGCTGAGACCATGACTCCAAACTGAAGACACAGAAGCCTGGCACATGATCCACAAGGTGTAAGGAAAAACAGAATCAGGATGAAGTACTCTGCCTTCCCTCAAGCTGATTCAAAAGATTTTAAACATGGAGAGAATTCATAAAAATTTGGGTGAGAGCATGGTGGCGGTCAGCAGCAAAGTAAATTAGTTCCCCAAAAGATAAGTCAGTTGAGCAGAAGGCTGTTGTGTGAGGATGGTGGTTCTCTTGGGAGTTGATCAGCAGCAAGAAGGCTGGCAGCAGCTGGACACACAGGTGGGCTGGCAGCAGGTGGTCCTGCAGCAGGTGGTCTCACAGCAGGCTGGGCGGCAGCAGGGCTGGCAGCAGCTGGATCCACAGCTCTGGTTCAGGCAACCAGGCAGGCAGACACACGTGGGGTGGTAGCAGGTTCTGCTGCAGTACACAGGTGCACAGGAGCTGGTCTGGCCACAGCTGGACCCACAGCTGGTTTGGCCACAGCAGCTGGACCCGCAGCAGGTGGGCTGGCAGCAGCTGGTCACACAAGTGGGCTGGCAGCAGGTGGTCCTGCAGCAGGTGTTTTGACAGCAAGTTGGGCGGCAGCAAGGCTGGCAGCAGCTGGACACACAGCAGGAGGGCTGGCAGCAGGGTGTGCTGCTGCAGCTGGTCACACAGGTGGGCTTCCAGCAGGTGGTCCTGCAGCAGGTGGTCCTGCAGCATGTAGGCTGGCAGCAAGGGGAGCAGCAGTAGGTCATGGTGTCAGGAGTGGAGGGTGGGCTCCTGTTCAGAGGTGAGTTTCCCAGAATCTGGTGACCCCTTCCAATCTGGACCTTTTATCCACCTGGCCTCTGAAGCTTCCACCAATCAGCAAGACTTTTCCTTGTTGCTGTTTACATTGCTTTCAACAGTCTGTTTAGGATTGTCAAAGGGGAAGTTGCTTCTGAAATCTGGTGAATTTTTTAAAAGTAAGGGTTTAATCTGTTTCTTAATTGAGAATTAGTCATAGAGACTTTGTTTCAGATAAAAGGAAGGCAGTCTCATCATCAGCACCATTCCTGCTCTGACCTTCATCTGGTCATGTGAGTGAGTTCCTGTGGTGGGGAGGCACAGGAATTTCTCTCTGCCCAGCCTCATGTTTGACTGTATGCAGACTGGGAGGTGTCTGTGGGCAGGGGCATGATGCTGATATGTTCACAACGATGAATTGAATCCATGCCTGGCCCCAAGCCTGTTCACCCACAAAAGTCTGATTCAAGAGTAACAGGCATCTCTCTCTTTCTCTCCACCCTACTCCACCTGTCTTCCAGTTCTATCAAACTCACTTGGGAAAAGGGTGTTTGGCACAGTGTATTCCAAGATGCAGAGCCAGACCAAAGAAAGTGGGTAGACAAAGGAGTCCACTGAGATTCAGAAAGCATCAGATGGTCTCCGCGGTGGTGTGACCATTTATCCTGATTTGCCTGGGACTGACAGGTTACCAGCATGAGAATGTGGAACTCTTTGTGATATAAGTGCTCTAGATTTGGGCAAATCAAGCTGGTCCTAGCCTGAACCTGGTTACCAGTACAATTAGTGGCATTTCTTTTCTCTTTTTGTTTTCAGTGAGGGAATTAGATGCATTGAGAATCATTTTATTTATCTTTGAGGGCTAACATGCTAAATACCTATTTTAGGGATATCATTCTTTTATAAAGAATGGAGATTATTACTACTCAAGTTGATGTAATATCACAAAGTGAATACATACATGTCAATTTAACCAGGTTAGGAAATAGAAATTAAGCACACTCCTTTCAAATTATTTCTTCTGACTAATCCTCAAAGGCAGCCAATCACTCCAAAGACTTCTAATCCTGTAGGTCAGGTATTTAAAAAAAAAAAAAACTTTAATGTCAATGAAGAAAGTGTAGAATTAGGTTCTCTATCTTTGCGTTAATATTGTGATATTCATCGAAAAATTATTTGTAGTTTATTCCTTCTCATTATTGTATAATCTTCCACTGAATATGACACAATTTATTTGCTGATTGCCTCCTAGATAAATAGGTAACTTGTTTGCAGTCGGGACTCATAAAAATAATGCTGCTGTGGAAGGTTTTCTACAACATCTTTGGGAAACGTATACAAACCTTTTTGTTGGGTATACAAGCAGAAGTAGTGTTTACAGAAATGCTTGGTGAAATTTTTATTCTGTGCTCCTTTATGCCTTTTCCATCTTTTAGTACATTTATTCTTATACATTTTAGTTCTTATACTTTTATGTGTATTATCATTTAAATTTTAATTTTTGCTGTTTCTGAAATATAGAAAGACACATTTTTATGTTGATCTTTATTGAAACTGTCTTGTTAATTCTACTAGTTTTTTGGTGTGACAGGAAATTTTACATGTGCAGTCGTGACTCATAAAAAATAGTAAATTTTCTTCATTTTATAAGAGTCTTTTTAATCTTGCTTTTTTTTTTTTTTTTGCTCTTGTCCAGTAGTAGACCCTCCAGGACAAGGTCCTGCATCCTAGGGATGCAGCCGACTTGATTGTGGTGGATAAGCTTTTAAAATGTGCTGCTGAAATGATGAGTTTGTGTCCTTTGTAGGGACATGGGTGAACCTGGAAACCATCATTCTCAGCAAACTGACACAAGAGCAGAAGATCAAACACCGCATGTTCTCACTCATAGGCGGGTGTTGAACAATGAGAACACATGTACACAGGGAGGGGAGCACTACACACTGGGGTCTGTTGGGGGGAAATAGGGGAGGGTCAGTGGGGGGTGGGGAGTTGGGGAGAGATAACATGGGGAGAAATGCCAGATATAGGTGATGGGGAGGAAGGCAGCAAATCACACTGCTATGTGTGTACCTATGCAACAATCTTACATGTTCTTCACATGTACCCAAAACCTAAAATGCAATTAAAAAAAAAAAAGAAAGTGAAAAAAAAATGTGTTGCTGAATTCGGTTTGCCAGTATTTTCCTGAGGATTTTCACATTGATGTTCTACAGGGATATTGGCCTGAAATTTTCTTTTTTTGTTGGGTCTCTGCCAGGTTTTGGTATCAGGATGATGCTGGCCTCATAAAATGGGTTAGGGAGGAATCCCTCTTTTTGTATTTTTTGGAATAGTTTTAGAATTTGGCCGTGAATCCCACTGGTCTTGGGCTTTTTTTGGTTGATAGGCTATTAATTATTGCCTCAATTTCGGAACTTGTTATTGGTCTATTCAGGGATTCAACCTCTTCCTGGTTTAGTCTTGGGAGGGTGTATATGTCCAGGAATTTATCAATTTCTTCTAGATTTTCTAGTTTATTTGCGTAAAGGTGTTTAGAGTATTCTCTGATGGCAGTTTGTATTTCTGTGGGATCAGTGCTGATATCCCCTTTTTTATTTTTATTGTGTCTATTTGATTTTTCTCTCTTTTCTTCTTTATCAGTCTGGCTAGCAATATATCTATTTTGTAAATCTTTTCAAAAACCCAGCGCCTGAATTCATTGATTTTTTAAAGGTTTTTTTTGTACCTCTATTTCTTTCAGTTCTGCTTTGATCTTAGTTATTCCCTGTCTTCTGCTAGCTTTTGAACTTGTTTGCTTTTGCTTCTCTCGTTGTTTTAATTGTGATGTTGGGGTGTTGATTTTTAGATCTTTCTCACTTTCTCATGTGGGCATTTAGTGCTATAAATTTCCCTCTACACACTGCTTTACCTGTGTCCCAGAGATTCTGGTATGTTGTGTTTTTGTTTTCATTGGTTTCAAAGAACTTATTTATTTCTGCCATACTTCCTTATTTACCCAGTTGTCATTCAGAAGGAGGTTGTTCGGTTTTCCTGTAGTTGTGCGGTTTTGGTGAGTTTTTGTTTTGTTTTTGTTTGTTTGTTTTTTTAGAGGGTGTTTTTCTCTTGCTCTGTCACCCAGGCTGGAGTGCAGTGGGACAATCTTGGCTCACTACAACCTCCACTTCCTGGGTTCAAGCGATTCTCCTGTCTCAGCCTCCTGAGTAGCTGGCATTACAGGCATGTGCCACAATGCTTAGCTAATTTTTTTTGTATTTTTAGAAGAGAAAGGGTTTCACCATTTTAGCCAGGATGGTCTCAATCTTCTGACTTCATGATCCACCCGCCTCAGCCTCCGAAAGTGCTGGGATTACAAGCATGAGCCAATGTGCCTGGCTTCGAGTGAGTTTCTTAATTCTGAGCTCTAATTTGATTGCACTGTGATGTGAGAGACTTTATTCATTCATTTATTTATTTTTATTTGTTTTTATTGCATTTTAGGTTTTGGGGTACATGTGAAGAACATGCAAGATTGTTACATAAGTACACACATAACAGTGTGATTTGCTGCCTTCCTCCCCATCACCTATATCTGGGATTTCTCCCCATGCTATCTCTCCCCAACTCCCCAACCCCTGCTGTCCCTCCCCTATTTCCCCCCAACAGACCCCAGTGTGTGATATTCCCCTCCCTGTGTCCATGTGTTCTCATTGTTCAACACCCACTATGAGTGAGAACACGTGGTGTTTGATTTTCTGTTCTTGTGTCAGTTTGCTGAGAATGATGGTTTCCAGGTTCATCCACGTCCCTACAAAGGACACAAATGTGAGAAACTTCTTATTATAATTTCCATTCTTTTGAATTTGCTGAGGAGTGTTTTACTTCTAATTATGTGGTCAATTTTAGAGTAGGTGCTATGCGGCGCTAAGAAGAATGTATATTCTGTTGATTTGGGGTGGAGTTCTGTAGAAGTCTATTAGGTCTGTTTGGTCTAGTGCTGAGTTCAAGTCCTGAATATCCTTGTTAATTTTCAGTCTCATTGATCTGTCTAATATTGACAGTTGGATGTTCAAGTCCCTCACCATTTCTCTCTCTCTCTTTCTTTTTTTTTTTTTTAGATGGAGTCTTACTTTGTTGCCCGGGCTGGAGTGCAGTGGCATGATCTCAGCTCACTGCAAGCTCCACCTCCAGGGTTCAAGCGATTCTCCTCTCTCCAACTCTCCAGTAGCTGGGACTATAGGCACACACCACCACATCTGGCTAATTTTTGTATCTTTTAGTAGAGAAAGGGTTTCACCATGTTGGCCAGGCTGACCTCAAACTCCTGACCTTGTGATCCACCTGTCTCAGCTTCCTAAAGAGCTTGGATTACAGGCATATGCCACCGTGCCCAGCCACTCTCTCACTATTATTGTGTGGGAGTCTAAGTCTTTTTGTTGGTCTCTAAGAACTTGCTTTATGAGTCTGGGTGCTCCTGTATTGGGTTAATATATATTTAGGATAGTTAGCTCTTCTTGTTGCATTGATCCCTTTACCATTATGTAATGCACTCCTTTGTCTTTTTTTGATCTTTGTTGGTTTAAAATCTGTTTTATCAGAGATTAGAATTTTTTTTCCTGTTTTTTTTTTTTTCTTTCCATTTGCTTGGTAAATATCCCTCCATCCCTTTATTTTGAGCCTATGTGTGTCTTTGCATGTGAGATGGGTATTCTGACTACAGCACACCCATGGATCTTGACTCTTTATGCAATTTGCCAGTCTGTGTCTTTTAATTCAGGCATGTAGCCCATTTACATTTAAGGTCAATATGGTTATGTGTGAATTTGATCCTGTCATTATGATGTTAGCTGGTTATTTTGCCAATTAGCTGATGTAGTTTCTTTATAGTGTTGATGGTCTTTACATTTTGGTATGTTTTTGCAGTGGCTGGTACTGGTTTCTCCTTTCCACATTTAGTGCTTTCTTTAGGAGCTCTTGTAAGGCATGCCTGGTGGTGACAAAATCTCTCAGTATTTGCTTGTCTGTAAAGGATTTTATTTCTCCTTCACTTATGAAGCTTAGTTTGGCTGTATATGAAATTCTGGGTTGAAAATTCTTTTCTTTAAGAATGCTGAATATTGGTCCCCACTCTCTTCTAGATTGTAGGGTATCTGCAGAGAGATCTGCTGTTAGTCTTATGGGCTTTCCTTCATGGGTAACCTGACCTTTCTCTCTCTCTGCCCTTAGCGTTTTTTCCTTCATTTCATCCTCAGTGAATCTGATGATTATGTGTCTTGTGGTTGCTCTTCTTGAGGTGTATCTTTGTGGTGTTCTCTGTACTTCCTGAATTTGAATGTTGGCCTATCTTGCTAAGTTGGAGAAGTTCTTCTGGATAATATCCTGAAGTGTGTTTTCCAACTTGGTTCCATTCTCTCCAGCACTTTCAGATACACCAATCAAACATAGGTTTGGTCTTTTCACATGGTCCCATATTTCTTGGAGGCTTTGTTTATTTCTTTTGGTTCTTTTTTCTCTTATCTTGTCTTCACACTTTATTTTATTAAGTTTATCTTGACTCTCTGATATCCTTTCTTCTGCTTGATCGATTTGACTATTGATGGTTGTGTATGCTTCATGAATTTCTCGTGCTGTGTTTTTTAACTCCATCAGGTCATTTACATTTTTCTCTAAACTGGCTATTCTAATTAGCATTTCCTGTAACCTTTTATCAAAATTCTTACCTTCATTGAATTGGGTTAGAAAATGCTCCTTAGCTTGGAGGAGTTTAGAATTACCCATCTTCTGAAGCCTACTTCTGTCAATTCATCAAACTCATTCTCTATCCAGATTTGTTCCCTTGCTGGCAAGGAGTTGTGATCCTTTGGAGGAGAAAGGGCATTCTGGGTTTTGGAATTTTCAGCCTTTTTGCGCTGGTTTTTCCTTATCTTTGTGGATTTATCTACCTTTGGTCTTTGATGCTGATGACCTTCGGATGGGGTTTTTGCGTGAGCATCCTTTTGGTGGATGTTGATGCTGTTGCTTTCTGTTTGTTAGTTTTCCTTCTAACAGTCAGGCCCCTCTTCTGCAGCTCTGCTGGAGTTTGCTGGAGGTTCACTCCAGACCCTGTTTGCTTGGGTATCACCAGTGGATGCTGCAGAATAGCAAAGATTGCTGTCTTCTCTTTCCTCTGGAAGCTTCGTCCCTTTCAACTGGAAACAAATTATCTCTCAATGTTTGGGTGCAAATGAAGTGTGGCCTAAGTTTTATGGGGCATGACTTAATCTCCTGTTACCATTTATGTGGGTGACCAGAAGAATGAGGACATACAGAATGCCAATTCCATGACTTCAACAAACATATATTTCCAGATGAGCCTTTCACACCAAAGTCCTAGGACAGAGGCAGGAACAGAATGGGTGCTCAAAAATATTTAAAGAAGTTCACCAGCGGCTGAGCAGAGACTGAGAAAATAAAATGTTCACATGATTCACAAGGGCTCTGAAAACAAGTTGTTGATCTTAAGATGTGACTATTTGTTAGGGGAATAAATTTGGGAAGAGCTTTGTTAGTAGAAAATGATCTGCAAATGCATGGAATTGGTGTGTCTACTGTCAGAGATCAACGTAAACCACACCTCTTCCTGGTGCTAAGTCCTTAGTATAAATTCTTCTTTATAGTCATCTGTAAATGTGACAACACCACAGCTGAAATCAGAAACCCTGGGCCTAGACCCGATTCTGTCTGTCCTTAGCTACATGGCATGATGCAGGTCACTTTACTCACCTTGGTTCTGTCCAAGTTTGAGGCTGTCATGTGACTTAGATTAGATAATGTATGTGAGATGCAAAACAATCATGGAAACAATACAAAACATAATACAGGAGGCATGATAGTAAAGACTTTATTAGGAAATAAACAAGCAATGCTCCTTTCAGCTAGGAAGATAATACAGAGTTGTCATAGAAGAGTCACAAAAATTTGTATTATATTGAAACAAAATGATTTATCATTGTAAAGATCTAATAAGGGCCAGGTGTGGTGGCTTACGCCTATAATCCCAGCACTTTGGGAGGCCAAGGTGGGCGGATCACCTGAGATCAGGAGTTTGAGACCAGCCTGGCCAACATGGTAAAACCCCATCTCTACTAAAAATACAAAAAATTAGCCAGGTGTGGTGGCAGGCACCGGTAATCCCAGCTACTCAGGAGGCTGAGGCAGGAGAATCACTTGAACCTGGGAAGCAGAGGTTGCAGTGAGCTGAGATTGCACCATTGCACTCCACCCTAGGCAATAAGAGTGAAATTCCATCTCAAAAAGAGAAAAAAGATCTAATAAGACAGATATGAGAGCTTTCTTTTTTTTTTTTTTTTTAGAAATTTTCCTAGGGTAAAAAAACAGAGATCATTTTGTCAAGGCTCAGACCATAAATCCACATCAAGAACAGATGAAGCTGACCAGCAGCTCGGTCAATGAAGAGAATATTGGAGTGAAAAAGATTGCACTCATTAAGCAACCTCATAAATCTGTTAACAAGAAGATGACTGACAGTTTACTGACAGCATATATGTTATCAGCAGAGGAAGTGGAGTGAGCTTGCCACAGATATGGATAACTGGGCCCTGCATGGTGGCTTACGCCTGTAATCCTAGCACTTTGGGAGGCCAAGGTGGGTGGATCACCTGAGGTTGGGAGTTCGAGACCAGCCTGACAGATATGGAGAAACCCTGTCTCTACTAAAAATACAAAATTAGCCAGGCATGGTGACACATGCCTGTAATCCCAGCTACTCAGGATGCTGAGGCAGGAGAATCACTTCAACCTGGGAGGTGGAGGTTGCGGTGAGCTGAGATCGTGCCATTGCACTCCAGCCTGGGTAACAAGAGTGAAACTCTGTCTCAAAAAAAAAAAAAATAGAAAGAAATAAATGGATATCTGGCTATTCTGATGATGGAAGTTTGTATTATGCAGGTAGTGATCTGTGGTAAGTTGATCAATAACTATTGGGCTGGCAGTCCCTAGACACACAGCAGGCTGAGCGGCAGCAGGGCTGGCAGCAGCTGGATCCACAGGTCTGGTCTAGGCAACCAGGCAGGAAGGCACACATGGGCTGGTAGCAGGTTCTCCTGCAGTACATGGGTGCACAGGAGCTGGGTTGGTAGCAGCTGGACCCACTGTCAGTTTGGCCATAACAGCTGGAGCTGCAGTAGGTGAGCTGGCAGCAGGGTGTGCTACAGCAGCTGGTCACACAGGCTGGTTGGCAGCAGGTGGTCCTGCAGCAGGTGGTCACACAGCAGGCTGGGCAGCAGGAGGGCTGGCAGCATCTGGATCCACAGCACTAGTTTAGGCAATCAGGCAGGCAGACACACGTGGGGTGGTAGCAGGTTATCCAGCAGTAGACAGGTGTACAGCAGCTAGGTCGACAGCAGGATGTATTGCAGCAACTGGGGCAGCAGCAAGACTGGCAGCAGCTGGACATGCAGCAGATGGGTTGGCAGCAGGCGGCCCTGCAGCAAGTCATAGGCTGGCAGCAAGGGGAGCAGCAGTGGGTAATGGTGTCAGGGGTGGAGAGTGGGTTCCTGTTCAGAGGTGAGTTTCCTAGAGCTTGATAACTATTCAATCTGAACGTTTTAGACATAGTACCCCAAAGTTTGGACCAATGAGCAGAACTTGTCTTTGATATTGTTTATGTGAATTTCTCTAGTCCATTGGGAAATGTTCCAGAGAGGAAGTTTTCTCTTCAGTGCTGTGAATTTTCTTTGAATAATTGATTTGTTTGCTTTTTTAATTGACAAATAACCATCAGAACTATTTTCCTGAACTGAGAAATGAATCATTCTCCCTATCAATTAAGCACTGATCCTCATTTTAAAAGCTAAGTACAGTATTTGGTCATCTAACAGATTCTATGTAGCTTGGTGAGATGTCAGGACCATTGTTAGTCACCATCTATTTTTCCTTATTGCTGTTTACTTTGGGAAGCACCTTTGAAATAGAAATGATGTTGAATCATGGTGATGACTTAAAAATCAAGTTTAGGGAGGCTTCTGATGCCACCTGCAATGTAGAAGCTAGCATAAGACTTATCTTCCTGCTATAAACAATAATAAAAGCTTTGTAAATATATGAAACAACTGTTTGCAGATATTAGATGACAGTGAGCTTTGTGTTATGGTTCTTGAAGGAAGATACATGGGGGGGAAAAAAGAAACACATGGGTTTGTATATTTTCAAAATTGCAGTGCCAGAAGAAATAGAGTCCGTATAGGGAGCAAGAAGAGAGAGACAGGCATTGAAGGAGTTCATCATAATTGCTTCTCTCAGTCTGAAATGTGATTTTGGATGGTTAAATTTTCTAAAGCTTGACCCAGGTAAAATTATCAATTATTTCTTTTAAAATAATACTATTTTTGTCTTGGTCAGGAGGTATTTATATACCTAAAAATAAAAAATTTTCACATACATTATCTAGTTAGGGTTTTAAGATTTTTTTTTTGGCCTTCAAGCTATTAATACACCTGGAATTGATTTTTTTTTTGTACATGATAAGTGATCGGAATCCAAGTTCATCTTTTCCATGGAACATTCTCAGCTTTATTGATGGATATGTTCTCATTTTCATCCAGGGTATTTATTATTTATTTGTGTCTTCTTTATATATCTTGATCAATCTTGTCAGTGGCTTATCATTTATTAGTATTTTTTTTTTAGAAAAAGAAACAAATTTTGGCTTTGTTCATATTCTCTGTGATATCTTTGTTAACTAGTTCATCAATTTACATCTTATGTTTTTTGGCTGTTTTTCTTTTTCTTATTCACTAAGATGTACACTTAGTTCATTTATTGTTAGGTTTTATTCTTGTTTAATATTTAAATATTAAAGGCTACTTAAAGTGTATACATTTTATCACAGACCATTTTCATAGCACCCCACAAGTCTTGATATGTAATATTTTCATTATAATCCAGTGACACTTTTTTTCCTTTACATTGTAGATTCTTCCTTTTTGGTCTTCCAAGTCAGTATATCCTCTGTAATTTATCTCACTTATTGTGCACTTTAATGATTATATGCTCTGTTATTACTTTTGTATCTAATATTATGCTTGGTTGTGTCTCCTCCCCATCATACATGTTTATTTTTATTAATTTTTCATTTTTGAAATAATTTCATACTCTTAGAAAGTTGTAAACATAGTACAAAGGATTCCCATATACCTTCACTAGATTCCTCAAATGTTAACATTTTACCATGCCTCTTTAACATTATTTCTATACATATAAGCGTTACTACTGTTGGTTTTTAAGAGTAAGTTGCAGTTAGAATCTCCTTTTATCACTAAATTCCGCCTTATCCCTACGTACTTCAGTGTGTGTTTCTTTGGTCACAGCCCAATGATTAAAACCAAAATCTTAACACTGATGCAGGATATTGTCTCTGGTTGGTTCTTACTCAGGTTGTGTTTTTTTTTTTCTCTGTATTTGTCTATATTGATAATAGCTTCCCTTATGTCAAAATGTATTTATTATGTTTAGTTAAAACCCAGTTGAAGATTTGCGGACCGGGAAGATGGAGTGGGTATACTTTTCCACATTCTTCCTCCTAAGTACAACTACAAATTCTGGATATTATACATAAAGCAAACACAAGAGGACTCTGAAAGGTGGAGTGAAGAAAGCAGCCAGGCTAGAAAGCTCAGGACTTAAGGAACAAGAAGTCTGGGTTTTCTTTTTGCTGCAAGTACTCTAGACATGGAGCCTGAGAAGCCTGCAACTCTGAAACTCTAATGGACGCGCGCACACACACACACACACACACACACACACACACACACACACAGTTCCAATAAACACCTATCTCTACCTAAAGGGTCAGAAAAGAGGTGGCTTAGCAAGAAGAAAAAATTTAGATGCTAACTGCTCTGCTCCGGAAGCAACTATGGCTTCACTGCCAACCATCCCAGTAAAAGCCGGGTGGGGACTAGACTTCCTTCCCTGAGAAGCTGTAATGAGTTTCCCCAACACTCCCACTGAGATAGTGAAAGAGAAGGCCAAGTAGGGCTGTGAAACTTTAATCTCTGCCAGTCAGTAATGACCCCCATCCCCAACAAACATAGACACAGAGTGTCAGTGGAGACCATGTGGAGGGCCAGAGCTCTCATCTCTGCTCAGCAGTAATGAGGTGCTTCCCCACCTTGCTTGCCAGCACAGGGTGAATCGGGGAACTGATCTACTTTCATGTGACAGTAATGAGGCAGCCTCTATTCCCCATTCTCTCGCTAGAACAATGTAGCCAGCCAAAACAAAAGATTACATAAAATCCAGCCAAAACAAAAGATTACATAAAAAAGAGTTTCATAACATAATACAAATAGGGCCAGGTACTAATAAAAAATCACTTAACACATAAAAACCAGGAGATATGTAACTGGATGAAAAAGACAACCATAAATGCCAATGTTGAGATGCCAGATATGTTACAATTATCTGACAAAGATTTTAAAGCAATCATGATAAAAATAAATCAATAAGGCCAGGCATGGTGGCTCACACCTGTAATCCCAGCACTTTGGGAGGCTGAGGCGGGTGGATCATGAGGTCAAGAGATAAAGACTATCCTGGCCAACATGGTGAAACCCCGTCTCTACTAAAAATACAAAAATTAGCCAGTGTGGTGGCACACGCCTGTAATCCCAGCTACTCTGGAGGCTGAGGCAGGAGAATCCCTTCAACCCAGGAGGTGGAGGTTGCAGTGAGCCGAGATCACGCCACTGCACTCCAGGCTGGCGACAGAGCAAGACTTCGTCTAAAAAAAAAAAAAGTCAATGAACAAAACATAGAGTGTATGTTTAAAATATACTTTAAACAAATGAAAGAGTAGAAAGTATCAAAAAGAAATAAAAGATATAATAAATAACTATATTGAATATCTATATGTAAATTTTGGAACTAAAAAATGCGATAACCAAAATAAAAATCTCAGTGGATGGCTCAACAGCAGAATGGAGATAAAAGAAAAGTATCAGTGAACTAGAAAATAAAACATTAGAAAATGTCCAACCCAAACAACAGAGAAAATATACTGAAGAAAAATTAAAAATTTAACAGAGCTTAGGGGACCTGTGAGACTAAAACAAAAGATGTAATATTCATCTCCCCAGAGTCCCAGAAGGAAAGCTGAAAAAGGGCAGGGCTGAAAAAGTGTTCAAAAGCAACATAGTTGAAAATCTCCCCAATTTAGCAAGAGACATAAACCTACAAATTCAACAAGGTAAGAAAATCCCAAATAGGATAAGCTCAAAGAAATCTGTGCAAACACACATAGTAGTTAACTTATGAAAAGGAAAGATAAAGTAAATGCAATCAGAGAAAGAAACACCTTACCTTTAGAGGAAAACAATTAAAATTGCAGTGGATTTCTCATTATTTTTTTAAGTGTTGAAATAAAAGAACTATAAGCACAGAATCTTTTACCTGGTGAAAATATACTTCAGGAATGAAACATTCTCAGGAGAAAGAAAACAAAGAGAATTTGCTGCTAGCAGGGTTATTCTAAAATATAGCTAAAGGAAATTCTATAAACAGAAAGGAAATGATAAAATAAGGACCTTGGAACATCAGAAAGGAAGAAAAATCACAGCAAGTAAAAATATGGGTAAGTATAGTAAACTTTCCTTCTCCTCTTGTGTTTTCTAAATCATTTTCACTTTGACAGCTAAAGTGAAAATTATAACACTGAGTGGTTCTAAATAAATGTAGTGGAAATATTTAAGACATAAACAGAGTAAAGTAAAGGGACATAAATGAAGTTAAAGTTTCTATACCTCAGTAGAACTGGTTAAAAAAAAAAAACGACACTAGTAAATGGTGATAAGTTGTATATACATATAAAATAACATCTACAGAAACAAATTTAAAAAGCTAAGCAAAGAGGTACCTTAAAAAACACTATAGATAAATCAAAATAGAGTTCTAAAAATGTTCAGTAAGCACACAGAAGTCAAAAAAATAGAGTACCAAAAGAAAAAAAAAAAAAAGCAGAGCAAACATAAAACAAAAATACAAAATGGCAGACTTGTGCTCTAATATGAATAATTACATTAAATGTCAATGGTTTAAATAAACCAATTTAAAGACAGATTGGCAGACTGTGTCAAAAAATATGTCCCAACCATATGCAGTCTAAAAGAAACTCAATTTAAACATAATGATATAGGCAGGTTGAAATTAAAAAGATGGAAATTAAAATAAAATGTCATTTACAATCTCTGTAAAACATACTTAGGCGTAAATTTAAAAAACATGTACAGGACTTATCACAGCAAAATTTAAAAAATAGATATCAATAAGATTCTTCCAAAATGTGTATAGAAAGACAAAAGAACTAGAATAGCTAAAACAATTTCAAAGAATAATGTGAAAGAAATCAATCTATTTAATTTCAAGATTTATGATATAGCTACAGTAATCAAGGCTGTGTGATACTGGGGGAGGAATGGACAGCTAAATGAATAGATTGAAAAAAAGAACCTAGAAATAGACCTAAACAAATACAGTTGATGGGTTTGAACTGCACAGTTCCACTTATATGTGGATTTTCTGCTTCTGCCACTAATGAGACAGCAAGACCAACCCCTC